TATCCTGTCTCTTGCCATATGATGCTCGGTGCTATCGTGGGACTCTTAACAGCAAGATTAGCCAGACCATGAGCCAAAATAAACCTCCTTTCTTTATAATGTATCCACTCAGTGATAGTGTGTTATTAGCCACAGAAAATAGGTTAACACAGATATTAAATCCTACTGTCACCAACAAAAAAAAGTCTTAGGGTGGGGATTTAGCTCGGTGGCACAGCACCTGCCTGGCAAGCGCAAGGTCATGAGTTCGATTCCTGGTACCAGAAAAAAAAACAAAAAAAAGTCTATAAAATATATACAAAAAGATATGAGAGTAGCTGGGCATGATGGCACACAGCTGTAATCCCAGCACTCTAGAGGCTGTCGCTGCAAGTTTGAGGCCAGCCTGGGCTACAAAATGAGCTCAAGGCCGGCCTAAACTGCATAGCGAGACCCTGTCTCAAAAAGGAAAAAAAAAAAGAAAGAAATGACAGCGAATCAAAGCAAGATTTTTAAAAAATGAACTGAACAAAAGGCATCAGGATTGGAGGAAATGAGAATTTTTAAAAACTGTAAGGCATATAAAACAGAAATAACAAAATGATAGATACAGTATAAGACATAATTAGCAGATATAATCAGAGATACAATTAGCTAATTATTTTAATGGTAAAAGTTTAAACTATCCAATAAAAAGACAAAAGATGGGCTGGTAATTTTTTGGGGGGGTACCAGGAGTCGAACTCAGGATTTCAAGCTTGCCAGGCAAGACCTGTGCCATTGAGCTATACCCTTGGCCAGACTTTCAATTTGTAAAAGTTATGAGAAAGGTATTACATATTAAGCAAAGAGTCAACAAAGCAAGATTACATAAAAGTTGTAAATCTTTCTACTCCTAAGAACAAACTCTCAAAATAATAAGCAAAAACTGACAATTAAAAGAAGTAAAACAGTTCTACAATAGGAGTTGGAAACTAAAATATCCTATTTTGAAGACTGAGTCAGACAACCAGATAAAAGATAAGTAAGTAAAGACAGGATCTGACCATCACAATCAACTAAATCTAACAAGACATTATACAGATCATTCCACCCAATAACAGCAAAATACACATTCTTCTCAAGTACACAAGAGACAGTCACCAGGGCAGACCATATGTTAGACCACAAAACAAGTCACAAGTAGATTTTTATGAGACAGATATACAAAGTAGCTTCTCAGACCTTAAAGGAATGAAGAAGGGAAACACAAAATTCAAACATGCGGAAATTCAACAACACATTCCTAAAATAATAGGTAAGACAAGAAATCCAAAGGGAAATTTAAACATACTTAGAAACAAAAATAACACAGCGTATCAATGCTTACAGGTTGGAGTGAAAGCAGTGATCAAAGGCAATTTATAGTTGTAAGTGACTATAGTAAAAAAGAAAAGCTGAGAATGTGATTCAGTGGTGGAGCACCTGCCTAGTATACGTGAAGACCCTGGGTTCAATCCTTAGCACTGCAAAAAAAGGAAAAGAAAAAAAAGAGAGAGAAAGAGGAGGAGGAGAAAAAGGATCTCTAACCAATAACCTAAACTTTACACCTACAGAGCTAAGAAAAAAGGTACGCTAGAGCCGGGTGTGGTGGCACACGCTTGTAATCCCAGCACTCGGGAGGCTGAGGCAAGAGGATCCTTGTGAGTTTGAGACCAGCCTGGGCTACAAAGTGAGCTCAAGGACAGATTGAACTGCATAGCAAGACCCTGTCTCAAAAAGACAAACAAAAAAAGGTATGCTAAAGCTAAAGCTAACAGAAAGAAGGGAATCAGCAGAAACAATGTAGAGAATAGAAAAACAACAGAAAAATCAGTGAAGCCAGGCATAGTAGTGGGTGCCTATAATACCAGGTACTAGCAAGCCGAGGAAGTACTGAGCCAAAAAATTCAAGGTCAGCCTGGGCAACACAGTGAGATCCTGTCTCAACACACATACACACACACACATGCATGCATGTGCGGAAAATAACACTCCCTCACATGTAAACAAAATACAATGAAACTAAAAGTTGATTTTTGAAAAGATCAACAAAATACCTCAGCTATTTATGAAGAAAAAAACCACAAATCACTGTAATCACAAATAAAAGATACATTATTATCAACCTTACAAATTGGGTCAAGGAGATAGCTCAGTGGCACAGTGCCTGCCTGGCAAGCATAAGATTCTGAGTTCAATTCCCGGTACAAAAAAAAAATTACAAATTAAAAAAATTGTAAGAGACGATTATAAACAATTCTATCCCAATAAATCAGGTAATCTAAGGAAAAGTGGACAAATTTTTCAAAACTCAGATTGACACATACCTATAATCCTAACTAACACTCTGGAGGCTGTGCAGGACAATTGTGAGTTTGAGCCCAGCCTGGACAATTTAGCAAGACCCTGTCTAAAAATAAAATAATCAAAAAGGATTAGGGGTGTAGCTCAGTATGAAAGCCCTGAGTTCAATCTCCAGGAGAGAGGAGCAGGAGGGAAAAGGGATGGGAGAGTGGAGAAGGGGGAGAGAGAAAATCGAAAGAGATTGAATCACTAATTAACCACACACACACACACACACACACACACACACAAAGTCCTATACCAGATGACTTCACCAGTGAATGTTATTATACCTTTAGGGAACAATTTTTTCAGTCCTTCTGAAACTCTTGCAAAAAAAAAAAAAAGGATGAAATGCTTTTTAACACATTTTATGAGGCACCAGTATTCTGATAGCAAAGACAGATAAATGCATCGTAAGTAAAGAAAATTACAGATCAATATCGTTACGAATATAGATGGAAAAACAATCAATAAAATATTTTTTAAAATCCCACCCCCCCAAAAAAAAAATCCCACCCAAAGACCTGGCTTGATGGCACACACCTACAATCCTAGCACTTGAGAGGCTGACGCAGGAGGATCCTCACGAGTTCAAGGTCAGTTGGGGCTACACAGTAAGTTCAGGGCCAGTCTTAACTACATAGTGAGAACTTGTCTTAAAAAAAGAAAAAAAAAAATCCCATCTAAAAGCACAGTAAAATAATTCCAGGACCAAGTGGGATTCATGCTAGTAAAGTTCGACATAAAATAAATCAATGTAATACATCACAGTAATAGAATAACGATTCAGGAGCAGAGCATCCAAATTGATTCAGAAGAGTCATGTGAAAGAATTCAGCATCCTTTCATGATTATTATCTCTTAGAAAACTAGAAAGAGAGGCAAAATTCCTAAATATGATAAAATAATGTTGAAAAACCCACAGTATGAAAAACATTACACTTGATGGTTTAAGATCAAAAGCTTTATATCAGGAATAAAACGAAGATGCCCACAGCTGCTATTTAACATTGTATGAACTGCCAGAGATATTAGATAAGCAAAAGCAACTAAAAGCATCCAAATTAAAATGGAAAAAATAAAATGATTCACAAACAAAATTCTATTCACAAACAACACAACCCTATATGCACAAAACCCTAAAGATTCCACAAGACAACTACTAGAGCTAGTAACCCAAATCAGCAAAATTCCAGGACACGAGACCACACAAAAATCAGCTGACTCTATATACCAGCAATAAGATGAGAAAGAAATCACGGAAACAATTCCAATTAAAATATCACCTAAACGAATTAAACATACTGAAAACTAGACAGCTGAGAGAAAATTAATGAAGATGTAATTAATGAAAATATATCCCATGTTCATAGGCAGGAAGACAAAATCGGTACATTGCCAACAATGTACAAAGCAACCTACTGATTCAACACAATCCCTATTCTGAAAGTATTTTCCAAAGAAAAGGAAAGTCCATCCTCAAATTCGTATCAAAGTGCAAAAAACCCCAAACAGCGAAGGCAAACGTTGCAACTCCAAAACTTACTACAAAGCTACAGTACCTAAAATATGGTACTAGCAAAAGGACATGCAGATTAATGAACTACAGACAGCCCAGAAAATACATTTTTTTTTTCAGTTGATTTGAAGGATGCCAAGACATTCAACTGGGAAAGAAGAATGATCTTTTCAGCAAGTGATGTTAGGGAAACTGACTATTCATATGCAGAAAAATGAAGTTAGCTAGTGCTAAAGGTGATAATTACACAATGTTGTGAGTGAACTTAATGCCACTGAACTTAACAGTCAGAAATGATTAAATTGACAAACATCATTATTATGATAACAAATAGTTTCTTCGAAGAAAGATTTTAAAAATTCAGGGAACACTTGGATTGACAAGGAAAGAAGAAGGGCTCTAGAACGATACTCAGATTTTCTGGCCGGGTGCAATGCGTGACAATGCCGTGCACCGACACCAGAACTACTATATAGGAGACGAGCAAAAGTCTGGAGACAAACTTGAAATAGTTAGGAGATACAATAACACTGGGACAACCAATTGAAGACCTCTTATAGGCAAAAGTCTCGATCTCTGAAAAGATATCTGGGCTAGTGAGAGTGAGTTGTGAACGGTCAGCGCATTGTAGGTAAGGCAAGGATGCTACGGGAAAGCAGGGAATTGCCCTAGGAATACGTAAGGAGGAGGAAGAACCCCGAGCCAATACCCCTACCAAATGCCAACACCTTTAAGCAAGGGGGCATAAACCGCTTTCTGCATACGCGGCTCCCGCGAGGCAGTCCACATCCCTAGGCGGGAGGGACTTACCAAGATTTAAGCGCGGAAAGGCCCTTCAGGCTCAGGCAGACAGCTGACGGTGGAGGGAAGCCCGGCTCAAGAAGAGCCGCCGAGAAGAGAGCCTGGGTCAGCGGATCCTAGAGAAACGCACTGGGCCAGGGCCAAGGCTAACGAGCCACCGCACCTGAGGATAGCGATCACCGACGCCAGCTGCCAGAGGCACTGGCAGGTTGCCCGCGTACCGCCCACTACGTGAAAAGTTCCTCTCCGGGCCCCCGTCGTCCTCCGAGCATTCCGATTGGTGGAGATGACCATGGGACCTGGAAGTTGTCTTTGTCCGGCCAGGGCTGCCCTTCCGGTTCCGTTGGGTCCCCCTTTGGCTCAGGTTCCCTGCCCCTCCCCCTTCCCGGAGCCCCGAGGGGCCGGAGCTCCTGGCGGTGCCGGATCCTGACGGCGGCCTTCCCCCGGGTCTGTAAGTGTGGAGGCGGCCGAAGCGCCGGGATGGGGTGCGGGATCTCTCAAAATAGAGCCCCGTTGGGGCCCTATTTGGGCCGGGAACTGCGCTGGTATGGGGGCTGAGAGGCTGGCCTACGCCCCTGGGGAATTAAGAAGCCTTTGGCCCGGCCCACGCTGCGCCCCGCCCCTTTGCCTTCCCCGAGTCTGGAGCAAGGAGCTTGAGATTGTCCGATGAACCGCCTCCTGGAACCCCAACCGAGGGTCCTACCAGTTGGTTTGGACCCTGGACTCTGCATCTTGTAGAAAGTACCAGAGTTGGGCCCCTGAGCAAACGAGCCGCAGTATCCAGCCCAAGACAAGGCCTTCAATGCCAGCCGAGTCACTGAGTGCTAGATTACCCTTTTAATGGGATTTCACTCAATTCAGTCATACTGGCGCTATACTAGGCACTGGACATTGATCAGGTATCACTCCATTTTTAAGGGTCAAGTTTGGGAGTCACATATAAACAAGTGCTCCAGTGATATACATCTATGTATCTAATAGTATGTATATGTATAATATATGTATATATATTAGATAATTGTCTAATATTGGTCAAAGGCAGTAGCTGGGAATTGTTGAGAAAGAAAGTGACATCTGAATTACACTTCTTGGCGAGGGTAAAGTGTGGAAGCCCTTTTCAGGTAGAAGGCACAGTTGCAGTGTTACTGAGAATGACTTAAATGTAAGGTGTGGGAAAAAGAGAAAATTAGGGTGGAATGGGGGAGTTCCTGTGCATGGGATGGGGTTTGAGGTTTGGAAAGTAGACTGAAGTCCAGATAGTCTCCTTTAGCTCTAAAGGAGATCGATAGTTTTTTGAAGAGTTTTAGGAAGAAAACAGCACTACCAAAAATAATTTAGTTCTAGGGAAAGCCTACAGGAAAGGAGTTTCTGATAGCTGTATGTGGACTCGTGTGTGTGTGTGTGTGTGTGTGTGTGTGTGTGTGTATGTGTATGTGTATGGTTCTGGGGATCAAACCTAGGGCCTTCTGCATGCAAAGCAAGAGTTGTACCACTGAGCCACATCCCCAGCCCTGTGGCTTCTTTTAGGTCTTGGCTAGGTACTCTTACTGGAAATTATTTTAAGGAGATAATAGGATCTGTGTGGTGAGAAGCAATAAAATCAGAAAATAGAGTTCTGACAGTGTTACTGAAAAAGAGACATATGCTTTAGATAACAGTGTCAAGATTTCATAAGTAATTGTATATTGAAAGAGAAAAGAGTACTAAATCTAATTCCTAGGTTTTAGGCCTTTAGTATTTGAAGAATAGTGATGTCATAACCAGAAATAAAAACATAAAGTTAGTGTTGATCATGCACTCATTTTTTAGACAATTGAGTTAAAGTCTAATGGGATAGCCATATACAGCTGCCCAGCCTAGAACTGGAAATACAAAACCTAGCGATCAGCCTAAATGTGGCAGCCAGAGGTAAAGGTTTGGGTTATTAGCATAGAAGTGGAAGCCATGGAAATAGCCGGCATCAAGAAGGAAGTACTGGGGCTGGGGATTTAGCTCAGCGGCACAGCGCCTGCCAGCGCCTGCCAGGCAAGTGTAAGGTCATAAGTTCAATTCCTGGTACTGGGGGAAAAAAAAAAAAAAAAGGAAGTACTGAGAAAGAAGGAAATTTGGGGAGTAATGGTTGCATTTAGGAAGCAAGGAGGAATTGGAGATAATAGTAATAATTGTAATAGGAGAAACAGAGATAGGAGACAAAGTAAAAGAATGCAAGATTCCAGCAACCAAGATGACTTGGATATTAAGGAAAAATTTGAAGAAGCCACTAGATTGGTTCATATAAAGCATCTAGGAAATGAAACAG